GAGTCTATACATACCAAGAACATCAAAATCAGACCTCAAATGGCCCCTCAAAGCTCTCCAAAACTCAAGGCCTAACCTTCAATTTTAACCCTTAAATCCCACAAATTTCATATCTAAACAGTTAGAAATCACTCTAGGATCGAGTATTGAGTTCAAAAACCTTACCTCCAAGTGTTACCCCTTGAATTCCTCTTCAATTCCTCTCAAAAGCTCCAAGTCTGAACTCAAATGGTGGAAAAATGACCAAATTTCGCGAAGGCCTCAATTTATACTTTCTGCCCAGCAAAAACCACACCTGCAGTACCAATGACGCATCTGCGGTCCGCTCTTACGGACAAATCTCCGCTTCTGCGGATTCCACTTAAGAGATCCAACTTCCGCACCTGCGACCCAGGCTTCGCACCTGCGGGCTCGCAGGTGTGTTAATTATCCGCTCCTGCGATTGAGTCTGATACTGCGGCTGACTCCATGTGCCTGCGATCATCGCACCTGCGGTCCCCAATCCGCAGGTGCAGAAACAACAGAAGCAGAAATTCTGCAGCACAACTCAAAGTCCAAACTTTCCGACAACCACCTAAATCCGTCCCGAGGCCCTCGGGACCTCAACCAAATATGCCAACAAGTCACATATCATTATTCAAACTCATACCAACCCTCAGAACACTCAAAACAACGTCGAAACACCAAATCACCCTCAGATTCAAGTCTAAGGATTTCCAAACTTTCGAATTCCGCAACAGATCCAAAAACCTATCAAATCTCATCCGAATGACTTGAAAATTTGGACACACGTCACAAACGACACAACGGACCTACTCAAATTTCCGGAATTCCATTCCGACCCCGATAGCAAGATTTCCACTGCCGACCGGAAAATGCCAAATTTCTAATTTTGCCAATTAAAGCCTAAAACTACCATAGACCTCTAAATTACATTCCGGACACGCTCCAAAGTCCAAAATCACCCAACGGAGCTAACCAAATCATAAAAATCCAAATCCGAGATCAAATACTAAAAAGTCAAGATTGGGTCAAACCTTTCAAATTTAAAGCTTCAAGCTGAGAATCATTCGTCCATATCTATTCCGATTATCCTGAAAACTAAAACCGATGATTTACATAAGTGGTAATATATCTTACAGGGCCAGTCATGCCTGTGAACTGGCGAGCGAAGTGCAAATGCTCAAAACAATCGGTCGGGTCGTTACAGTATCCCTTTACCTTGGGTCCATTCTCTTTGGGGTCGAGTGAAGAGCTCGACCCAATAATTTTGGAGTTTTGCCACCAATATCAGGTCTGCTTAGCACAAGTGGGCCCATATATATGGTGGACGGTGGCCTGCCTTCGACAATTGTGCATTGAGACTGGGGAAACCCTAACTCTTGCACATATAATAAACCTTTACTCTCCCAAGATTTTCCGTGTGCGAGTAATAAATTTTATCAAGCGTGGTCACACGCTCTCCGCATTAGCATAGAGATGACAATGACCGTGGATGAATGGATTCATCATTATTGCTACCAGCACATCATCTGGATCACAACTCCATCTTTGGAACCTTTTTTGTATGTTTTCGGTTTTCTATTTCCTTTCTTCGTGGAAAGGTCATTTTCCGCTTTTGCTAATTTTCTGTTTCCTTCGTTTCAGCTACCTGATGGGAACCACCACGTCTTTATGGCATGGATCAATGGGTTTAGAGAATTCTGGTCATTACAACTCTAAAATCTCGGCGGTGGAAGGAAATGGCTCCCAAATACGGGTGGAAAGCCAAACACCATGGTAAGCCAAGTCCTTTTTAATTTTTGTTCGAACACAATAAATATCGTGAAGAAATTGCTAACGCTATTTTTGTCTAATACAGGTCTTTTGAGGGGTTCTTTCATCTGCCCCGAAGTTAACGTCGTAGATGACCCTAAGGAGGCTAGGAGGGTGTTGAAAAATGCCCTTGACCGAAGCAGAGCCCGTAGGTATGCTCGAGCCTCCGGTGAAGGTGCCTCCCATCGGAGTCCCTAGTCCAAGAACAAGAAACCAAAGAGAAGATGCTCCTCCTCGGCTGGAACTCAGGAGAAGTAAGCAAAGAATGTATTATCCGAGCCGGCCATAGTGATCCTCGTTAATGAAGGACAAGCTAGTTATGAAGATTCTTCTCTTCAAAGGAGATCTTCATTAGCTCAACCAAATGCTCAACCCAGAGAGCTTCAAAACCCATCGATAGATGAGGTCCAGGCATTTCGGGGTGAAATGGGATTAGTTGAGAATGCTGACTCTCGCTTCCTGGCCCCTATTTCTGTCTCCGGTCTAAGGAGTTCGGACCTTGGACTTTCTATGTCCTCAACTCTTGAGAAAACAACAACCGCCACTCCTTCTGCCACTCCTACTTCTGCTCCTTCTACACCAAAAACTTCTCGCCTAATGATGCAGTTGCCCCTTCGCCACCAGCACCAATTGCATCTGCTCTACCAGCACCAACTGATCAAGAAAGGGATCTCGTTTCTCCTAGGTCTCCTGACCACAGGAACTTGGGGAGCACCTATGCCATACCTTCTCAAGATCCCCTAGGGAGGCGAAGCGCCACCTTTCAGTTTCAAGGGAGTTTCATCTCCTTTCCAAGCCGGCGTAGCTTGCCAACTATATGAAGTAGTTGGTCTCGGTGAAGGATTGGAATAAGATGGGCTCCTTTTCTAGAGAATGCCTGATAAATAACAGTATGTAGTGTTCGGTGCAGGTAACATACTAGTTTCTTCCTATCTTCTTTTGTACTTACGTGTTACAATGGTACCCATAACTTCAACCTTCTCTTTGTAGGCCAATCTTCCTGCTTCTGAAGGCCTACAAATGTTGATCCTTGATAAACAAGGACTTGCTTCAGAGCGGGATAAAATCTTAGCTGAGAGGAACAAATTTGTCGTGCGTCTCCCGGTGTTGGAGGGAAAAGCTGTAGAGATAGACGAGCTTGAGGCCCGATTACACCAGAGCAAACAAGATAGAATTGATGAGCTTAAAATTACTCGACATTTATGTCTGCTTTGTGGCTTTGATTTGGTGGATTTGCTAGATAATTAGTCTGATTATGGTCTAATATTTTTATTTTCAATGCAGGTGGTGCATATGGGATCAATGGACAGATAGTGCACGAAGAGGGAGGAAAACAAGCTGAGAGAGGAGGAACTTCTCCTGCGCGTCCGCGCACGAGCAGCCCCAACCGCACACATGAGTGCGCAAGTGTCACAAATGAATTGGTAGATGTGCGCGGCCGCGCATGTCCGTCTTCAAGAAACTTAAATCAGGCCTAATTTTGTAATTTATGGGCATTCTCCTTGACCTATATAAAGCCTAAGCTCGTCCCAAACTAGGGAGGACATATTTTTGGAGCAACGTTTGGAGAGAAGAACGCAAGAAAACAACATAGACTTTGAATACTTTATTCGAATATTTCAATACGAAAGTTTGTTTGAATTCATGGGTTGTAATGTTCCTTGTCCTATTAATACTCTTTTGATGAATAATTTCTCCACTTTGGAGTAGTCTTTCTTAGGGTTATTGATGGATATTGCGAATTCATTATTATTCAAGAGTTTGATTGCTGTTAATTTCTTGAATTGTTGAACGGGTTTTGAATTAAATTACAAAGTTATTTGGGGTTTCACTTAATCGGAAGAGAAGTGTTACTGCATTTATCATGGTGTTATCCTGTTGGGTTAATTTCATGACTCTCTAGTTAATCGAAAGAGCTTGCAGATTTATCAATTGACCCAATTTAGAGGAATGGTTGAGAGATGTTCTTCGTAATAACATTCATTCACCATATTCTTGCATATGCTCACAGCACTTATCATTAGTTTTTTTTAACGGAACTCTCATTCACTCGGAAGAAAAATTTGAATCCTTAACGTAGCTTAATCATCTATTGAAGTCGAAAGAGTCAATCGAATTTAAGAGTGAACATAGCACAGAGTTATCCCGAATAATAGTTGATCACATATCTTGTCAAAACACTTATTTTTCACATTGATATTCAATCGTTGCTACTTAGTCACTCAATTTCCATTATTCATTCACGATTGAGAATCTTAGTTTTTTCTCTTAGTTAGTTAATAACTCAAAATCAAAGGTTTGTTTTTCTGAATAGTGTTATGCTGAAGATTTCTATGAACATTATTTAAACCAATCCCTATCGAGACGATTTAATATTATACTATCTTTTACTAGCAAGGCTAAGTTTTTTTTTGGTAATTATATTTTTCATTAATCACCAATGAAATCATTACAACACAGCAGAGTCATTCTCGTCTTGCTTAATCGTTACATATTTCTAGCTCTATAACAATATTATGAGCAGTACATAAGAGACATTATACAAGTAAGCTGGTTAGTTGCTACATTGTCTTTAAAATATAAGTTGCTGCATTTGTTCCTCTCCTTCCATATCCCATAAATGTATTCTGCATATATAATTTTCATTATTTTGGCTTTACACAATTTCCCCTTAGTTTGTGGTATCACCCATGCCATCATCTGTGTATAGGATTGTATTGGAGCAGCATGTAGTTGTAGCCATTGCAAATGCCTTCCCCATTCTGTCTTAGAAAAATTGCATTCACCAAACAGATGTACATGTGATTCATCTGCACTATTACATAAGCAACTTCTTGGATTACTTGAATTCCCCAGTTTGCTAGCCTATCTGTTGTCAATAGTCTCCCATGGCATTGCATCCACATAGTGAATATTTCCTTAGGCCTAGCTTCATTACGGAACATTAAGGTTCTCCATGCCACCTTGTTGTATCTTCCCAGAATGCCTAAGTATACTTGTTTGGTACTGCTCTGACTGTGCTTTACTGTAGGCATTTGTTGAATTACACCTCTTGCCTCCACGATCTTTCTCACTATCCAAATTTCCTGTTGGGGTATATTCATTTCCCGTATGCTTTGCCCTTTTATGTAATATGTGTGGATCCATTTTATCCACACTTTGTCCTTCTTTTCTGCAAGATCCCATTATACATTAGTGATAACAGCTCTATTCCAAACTCTGATGTTCAACAGATTATAACCTCCAGCAGATTTAGGCAAATACATTTTCTCCCATGCTATCAGTGCTCTCTTTGTAATTGTATTAGAGCCAGACCATATATAGCTTCTGCAGTATGACTCTATTAACTTCATCACTTTAGCTGGCAAGATAAATATTTGGGACCAATAAGATTGGATACCAAATATAAATGTTTGAACTAAATGTACCCTTCCAGCATAAGATAATTTCCGAGCTGTCCAAGAGGAGATCCTTGCAACTATTTTGTCAATCAATGGTTGCCATTGCAAAGTTGTTAACTTCTTTGTATCCAGTGGGATGTCCAGATATTTGAAAGGCAATTCCCCAAGTGAATATCCAGTATTCTGTAGAATTTCCTGCCTAATATCCTGAGCAACTCCCCCAAAGTAGATTGCACTCTTATTGGGATTGGCTAACAGTCTAGATGTAGCAGAAAAATGCATAAAGCAAGCATGAAGAGTGGAAACTGATTTACTATCACCCCTAGCAAACATGAGTAGGTCATATGCAAAGCTGAGATGAGTTATATCTAGCTTACCACACCTTGGATGGAACCTGTATTCCTTGGTATGCTTCAGCCCTTGGAGTAGCCTGCTTAGGTATTCCATTGCAATTGCAAACAAAAATGGTGATATGAGATCACCCCGTCTGAGTCCTTTGGCAGCTTCAAAAGGTTTTGTGAACTCCCCATTTATCATGATTGAATAGCTCACTGTTGATACATAAGTTCTCACCCAGTTAATGAATTTTGTGGGGAATCATAAATATTCTAACAGTTGTTCCAAATACACCCATTCAACAGAATCATATGCTTTCATCATGTCAACCTTCATCATGCATCTAGGGGAGATATGTTTCCTTCTATAAGCTTTAACTAACTCATGAGCAAGAATGATATTATCTGCTATTTTCCTCCCTGGAATAAATCTTTCTTGGGCTTCAGAAATGATGGTGGTGCAACAAGCAATAGGCTTGAAATCCTTAATTGTCACCGGATTAGGAATTTTAGGTAGCAAAGTGATGGTGGTGCAGTTGATTGCTGGAAACATCACCCCTGTATGAAAAAATTCTTTCACTGCAGCATACACTTCTTCTTTGATCACTGGTCATGCTTTCTTGAAGAATTCTGCATTATACCCATCTATACCTAGTGCTTTATCACTTCCTATCCCCTTCAGAGCCTCATCTATCTCTTTTTCAGTGACTTCAACATTCAGATCTTGTTGGTGTTGCTGTGTTAGAGTTAGACCTTTCCTCATTACCATCATGTCCATAGCTGGAAGTATATGTGCACTGGTTCCCATTAAGCCTTTATAGAAGGATACAATCTCCTCCTTTATAGCTGCATGTTCTGTTATGGTACTCCCTGATAGTGTCTGTAGTTCAACAATTTATTTTCTCTGCTGCCTCTCCTTTATTACTGCAGAAAAAAATTTATTATTAGCATCACCCAATTTGATCCAGTTTGCTCTAGCCTTTTGTTGCAGTATCTTCTCTTCCACCATTGACCGTGTTTCCAGCTTTTGCAGCCATTCCTTCTCTTTGACTTGCAACAGGTCATTATAACTATTTTGCATTTGGCTTTGTATGTGATTAATCGTTTGTCTTGCTTGATCTATCTTCTCAGCTACTCCTTTGAACTCTGTTTCATTCAGCTGCCTAAACTGCCTTTTCATCCTTTTAAGCTTGACCCAAATATTTTCCATCTTCCCTGCTACTTTGTTCCTGCTCGATTCTTCCCTTATTATCATTTCAAAATCAGGGTGATTTGCCCATACATTAAAGAATCTGAATGGGCTCTTGGTAAGAATCCTAGGTTGCCTTATACTGATGCACATGGGATTATGATCTGAAATATAAGGCTCCCCATAATCAGTACTTAGATGACTATAGTTCATCATCCAAATATCATTTCCAAACATCCTATCTATGCGACTCCAAATCCTATCAACACCCTTCTGCTTGTTGGTCCATGTAAAATAATCCCCTCTCCATGTTAATTCTGTAAGACCAATGTCATGGCATTGCTCAGCAAGGTCTTTTATATCAGCATTTATCACAAGCACTTTAGAGATTCTACCTTAGACAGTGAGTATAGTATTGAAGTCTCCCCCTATTAACCAAGGTCTTTTATTAATATGTGTTAATCTTTGTATATGCTCCCATAGAGTTCTTCTTTGATCTGCATCATTCTATCCATACACCACTGTGAGATAACAATACATCCCATTCCGCTTCCCAGTTACTAGACAGTGAATGAACTGGTCTTGTTTGTCTAATGGTTGTACTGCATACATTTGCTCATCCCATATGATCCATATCTTTCCATTCACAGCATACTCATAATTTGTCATCTTATTCCAACCAGGGACTATTCTACTAATCACCTTCCCTGCATTGCCTTCTTTCACCTTTGTTTCAACTAAACCGGCCAACTTGATATGTTTATCTTTTATGTACTGCTTTATATCTTTTTGTTTATACCTCTTATTCAATCCCCTAATATTCCAAATTAGCCAAGTCATTGGTGAATAATGATTCCACCTCCCAAATCAGGTGGTCTATTTTCCTCCATTCTCTCCTCTTCTTGTTGCAATATTTGAAAGTTATTTTTTGTAGTTATTGCTGTAGTTCCCAGTGACATTCTGCTATTACTAGCCAGAACTGGCCACTCATCTCTTTGGTCAGTACTATGCACTTCTTTTGCTTTCCCTTTATCCCTTGTTACCTTTGGATTTCTAGAGCTTTCATTAACTTTAACTGCATTATCATTGTCCTGCTTCATTGATTTACTTGTACCCTCATTTTGCTCTGTTTGTTGTTGCTTCCCTTGTCCTTTAACTTGCCACCTTGTGGTAATTTTCCCCTACTTCTTTCTTCCTTTGTGTTGATCTTCTTTATTCACTCTCTTCTCCAATGTACAATCATGGCCTATCTTCATGCAGTCTATACAATATTGAAGTTTCCATTCATACTCCACCTGCTGTTGAATCATTCTCCCTGATGGATCTTGCAATGTCAATTCTGTTGGAAGCTTTTTTGTCACATTAACTTCCACAAATATCCTAGCATATGATATACAGGTCTGCTTAGTAGTACATTCATCAGCAAAGAGTGGTTTTCCAATAGCACTTGCTAGCTTACTTAGTGTCTTGTTACCCCAGTAGCTCATAGGCATATTAGGAAAGGTGATCCACAAAGGAATCTCCATCAGAAACTCTACCTTAATGTCAAAATCTGGAGTCCACTATTTCAATATCATTGGTCTTCCATTAATAGTATATGATCCTCCATAAAGTATGTCTTTTGAATCCCCAAGTGTATCAAACTTTGTTATGTAGTATCCTTCTTCATGCAAATACAGATCTAGAATACTCACTCTACTCCAAGCATGAGCTATATATCTCTCCATGAATTTGTACCTTGGTGTATCCCCAATTATATAAATAATTAGGGCACACTCCCATTTTTTATTTTGAGACTCAATTTCTTCCTTATCTACTTTTACCACAATATTACCATCAACAATTTCCGATGGGATATACGATAATACCATACAATTTTCTGAGGATCTGTTGCCAGCAAACAAATTTGCCCATGTTTCTCCAGCTCTGGTGCTTTTGCATGTGGTTTTGTCTCGTCCTTTAGCTCTGCTGTTACTGTTCCATTGACATTCAGCTCAGCTATTGTTACTTTCTCCCTTTCCTGAGTAATCTCCATAGCTGTACTTATTGGAGTGCCTTCACATGAAGATGAAGGCACATTCATCTGCACTGCACTGAGATCTATCCTCTTTGCCGGTCCCTTAGCATTACTAGGTGAGCCTAAATTCTGAGAATTAGACTGAAATTGGTGTCCGATTGGCGTTGTTACTTGCTGTATGGATCCCTTAGCTAGGGTATCTGCAATTACTGTTGCAGTGATTGATTCGCCGACCGTCACGAGTGGCTCTCATTTAGGTCGTCCTCACTTTCTCGCCATGGCTGCTTCTCAGACGGCGTACGTTAGCATAACGTGCGCCGAGAGCTTAGAAAGCCTAAGTTTTATACACTAATTTTGCGCTCGTCAACTTTTGGCGTTGTTGCCGGGGATTGGTGATTAATAGTGTTTAAAAGAATTTTTTATGCTAATTCAGGAATAATTTTAGTTTATTTTCTTTTTACGTTCTTCTTATATGTGTGCATGCAACATGTTATGTTTAGTGGTGTATAACTCGATCCTCCTCCAAGCAATCAGTGCCATACAATCCGGAATTAGACAAGCACCTGCGGTAGTTGAGAAGGGAGAAAGAATCGAGTGGATCCTTTTTGGGTTAGAGTTCAAGTCATAATACGATGGTGAACAAAGAAAAGCAAGGGGACTTAGATGCGAGAGAGGCAGCCCAACAACAAGCTACACGATTAGTAGTTGAAGCATCCCTTAGAGTTGCCGAGGAAACGATTGAAGAGGGTCGAAGATTCAACCTTAACGACCCTTGGTTGATGATGAGTTTGAAAATGCAGGCCCCGGGACTGGGAGACCTCTAGGAGATTATGCCATACCGGTCTACAACCAGCGACGCTCCAGTGTGAAGCCCTAACCCATGATGCTAACAATTTTGAACTCAAGCAGGGAGTCATCCCGACCATTCAGAACAACTACATTTTCAGAGGCAAACCCAATGAAGATCCCACTAACCATCTGATGGACTTCAATGAAATCATGAAATCATTTTGCTATAATGGAGCATCACATGATGCTATCTACTTCAGACCATTCCCTTTCTCACTTTAGGATTATGCAAAGCAGTGGTTAAGGAGTTACCCACAGGGTCAATCCGTACTGGGAGGAGATGACTACCAAGTCCTTAGAAAAATATTTCTCTGCTACTATGATTGGAAGAATGAGGAAAGAGTTTCACAATTTTAGCGAAGGAGAAGGGGATAAAGTGTTCGAGGCATGGGAAAGCTTTAAGGAGTTGTTGCATAGGTACCACCATAACAGAATGGAGCAATGGATACAACTCCAGGATTTCTGGGAGGGGTTAACTCCTTCATCAAGGAGATTGATGAATAGTGCGGTTGTAGGCCCTCTGATGAAGAAAACACCAGAAGAGATTGTCACACTCCTAAATGAACTATCTAAAATTGTAGAACAATGGTGTACTGACCAAGGTGATCGAAGAAGATCAACGGGGGTGCACCAAGTAGAATATTTTGAAGCAATGCAGGCCCAGATTGCAGCTAAGGAAAAGGATATCAAGCAATTGACAATAGCCCAGGTGTAAAATCAAGCACAGTTGGGACGTGACATTTGTGGAATAGGACACCCAACTCATGGGTATCAAACCTCTACTGTAGAGGAATAAGTTAAGGCATTAGGGAATTTCAATAGAGGCAACTGCCAAGGAGGTAACAATTTAAACTCTATGGGGCAGAGACATCCAGGGTTCTCATGGAGTTCTTCAAGTGGTAGCTTGAGCTCATGGAAGCTGCAAAATCCCAAAGCACCTATGCAAGGACCTCCTGGCTTCCAAAACCAACAAAGGCAATAGTACCAGCATCTACATCCCATCAACTCAAATTTAGAAGATCTAATGAAGGCATTCATAAATAAATCAGACGAGAAGCTTGAGATTCAGGGAATAACTATCCGGGAACAAGGCACGACCATCCAGAATTTAGAAAGACAAATGGGGGAGATTGCATCATTATTATCATAAAGGGCTCCTAGGACTCTGCATTCTGACATTGAGAAGAATCCAAAAGAGACAATCAAGGCCGTGTCTTTCAGAAGTGGAAAAATATTAGCAGATCCTATTTTAAAACCAAAGGTTGAAAGGGTGATCAAATCAGCCAAAACAGTAGAAGGGCAGAAAATTGGCGAGTCTTTGGCTACGGAGAACATCAGCAAGAAGGAGGAATATAAGAAAAAGTCATATAGTGAAGTTGAAGAAAGCGAGCATATGCCGGTGTTACCCTTCCCTCAGAAGATGAAGCGAGAGAAATTAGATAAATGCTTTGGGAAATACTTAGAGATGCCGAAATAGTTGTATGTGAACATCTCGTTCACTGAGGTGCTCACCTAGATGCCTGCCTATGCCAAATTTCTGAAGGAAATCCTCTCAAATAAAAGGAAGCTCGAGGAAATGACAATGGTCAAACTCAATGCACATTGCAGTGCCATCCTACAGAATAAAATTCCTTAAAAATGTGGGGATGCTGGCAGCTTCACTATACCCTGCTCGTTGGGTAGTGAAAATTTTGTCAAAGCTTTGTCCGAATAAGGGGAATTCATTAAGTTGATGCCATTGTCGGTTTTTAAGAAATTAGAAGGAGAAGTAGGAGTGATAAAATATGTGCCAATATCTTTGCAATTGCTGATCAGACCACTCTTATACCATAGGGCATAATTGAGGATATTCTGGTGAGGGTGGACAAATTTGTCTTCTCGGTCGACTTCATTGTAGTAGACATGGAAGTAAATTAGAAGGTACCTCTAATCTTGGGGAGATCATTCCTTTGCACTTGTCGAGCTATTCTTGACATATATGAGAGTCAACTCATACTACGAGTGGGAAACAAAAAGTGGTGTTTCAAATGAAGAGAATAATGAAATACCGATGTGATGATGCATCTGCCTATGCATGTTTCAAACTGGATGTGGTTGGAGAGTTAGCTGAACAACACAAGTTGGACAAGCTGGTAGGTGATTCAATAGAAAGATGCATTGCTCAATCGAGTAAAACAAAGGATGAGGACCCTGAAATCAAGAAAGAAGCTGGGGCATTGGAAGATGAAAGCCAAGTGGTAGATGAAGAGTAATTTGAGAAAGAAATGGTCAAACAAAAGCTGGAATTGAAAGTACTCTCAACACATTTAAAACATGCTTTTTTGGAGACTAACAATACATGTGATTGTTTCTGCTGATTTGATAGGCGAACAAGAACACATGCTAGCGGAATTATTGTGGAAGCATAAAAAAGCAATTGGTTAGAGCATAGCTGATATTCAGGGAATTAGCCCAGCAATTTGCATGCACAAGATATTGTTGGAATGCGGGAGAAAATAGGTAGTGGAACCCTAGCGCAAATTGAATAAAAACATAGAGGAAGTGGTACAGAAAGAGATACTCAAACCACTAGATGCTGGTACAATATTTCCATATTCGACAGCCAATGGATCAACCCCGAATAGGTTGTGCCAAAAAGAGGGCATGACGGTGGTGAAGAACAAGGACAGCGAGCTAATTCCTACCAGAACTATCACTGGTTGGAGGATGTGTATCGACTATCGAAGGCTGAATGATGTAACTAGTAAGGATCACTTTCTCTACCCTTCATTAATCAGATGCTGGAGATGGTGGAAGGGCGCGGATGTTACAGCTTTTTAGATGGTTATTCAGGGTACAATCAAATACCCATTTCTCCTCTTTAGGAATCTTTGCATACCGAAAAATGCCTTTTGGACTTGCAATGCACCAACAACTTTTCGGAGATGCATGATGAACTTTTTCAGATTTGAATGGGAAGTGTCTAGAGGTGTTC